TTTTTAAATGATTATCAAAAAATCTTCAAGAATGAAATGGACCATGACCTGTGCAGTTCCCTTTGCTTTGTCTGCACGCTGCTGCTTCAGAACACAGTACTTTAAAATATAGTTGTAGGAGCCGGTTCTTCTTCAGGAGCCAAACAAAAAGAACCGCATCTTTGAAAAGAGCCGGACTCATAGAACTATAATAAAATCTGGAAGATGAATCCAAGTTGGTGCTGTATTGTTTTCAATGGCCTGTGCTCATTGGCGCATGGGCCCAAAAATTTTTCATTTCCGCATTTACTTCCTGAGAAGGGGCGAGCTCCTCCCACCCGTGTGACGTCTGTAAAGTGCATGGCATTGTTATAACATGCACGTACGCTGTTATAAAAATCACCCTATTATTTTAAAGGTACAATATTTAACTTTTTATTTATGTTTTGATTTGTTTGTATTGCGATTTTAATGCCTTTCTTATTTTGTAAAGCCCTTTGTATATGAATTGTACTATGCAAACAAACTTGCCTTGCCTTTCTGGTGTAGGGTCGGCCACCTGTTGTCTCCATAGAGATATTTATGCTTTGACAGGAATGTTCCACTGTATAGCATTAAGCATATCTATCTTGCATTTATTCAATAATTCATACACGTGTTCTTAATGTAAAAAAAAAACATATATCTTGAAAACATATATTCTTACTGTGAGCGGGCCTCTACACAGATCTGACTGGTAACGTAGTCTGATGGGACCATTTGCTTGTCTCTGTGAAGATAGATACATTTAATATAGAGTTGAACGACCTTGGTTACGATCATTTTGGACCGAAAATCACAATCTCAGACAACACGATTTTAAGAGCCTCAAAGCCGCAATTTTTGCTGTGTTCCTCAAGCCCAATTTATGGATGTGCGTCAAGGTGTATGCGCCACAAAGTAATTCACTGCCACAGTGTGAGGAGGCGAGGATTTAAACCTGCCGTTTGTGTAAAGTTTGAACCATCTCCAACACGACAGAAGCACAGAACAGACTCACCATCATCAGCACATCCTCTGTCACAGAAAGAACGCTCATATTCCACTGAGTCGTGTCCTTTAGTCTGACAAAACCTGACTGCATCAACAATACATGGAGCGAGCTATTTTTTCAGCGCTTATACTTTATGCAAATTAGCCATGTGGTTTTAAGTTTCCTTTCTGTGAAACGTAAACAAATGTGCGCAAAGCTGCTTTAAACACACTATTAATTAATGTATACTGAAAGAAAGGAATACGGAGAACAGGAAATGCATGTCGAGCGGTGATATAGAGGGCCAGTCACAACCACAGCATTGTCTGCGTCGCTTCCCCTGCTGTCTGCATCGTTTTGACGCATAGTTACGGTCCAGCATCGGTGCAGGACTCTGGTATGATGTAAGTTTTAGTGTTCATGTGCACTGAAACTTGATTTGAAAAGAATCTTGGATGAAATCGAAATCGCAACATCTGCCAGAAAAATCGCAACTCAATTTTTTCTTAAAACCGTTCAGCCCTAATTTAACGTCATACTATAAAACACGGATCTCCAACCTTTTGCATCCGGTGAGTTACCTTTAGAAAACGAAAATGCCGGAGAGCTACTCGTTTTAGCGATGGCAAGAAATTTAGTGGATATAAGGGAGCAAGCCTTAGATGTTTTACAGTGAGATGCCTTTAAAACACAAAACCATTATCCATTTATTAGTGTGCAAAGCTGAAATTTAACATATTTACAGTGGTAATTAATCAAATTCGAGTTAATTAGAATAATACGTAATTCATAAATCCTTTGGAGAGCTGCTGGTGGCTCCCAAGCTACAGTTTGGAGACCCCTGCTATAGAAGAACACTCCAGACAGAGTAATAACATCAACATGGAAAGAAACGGGACGAACTCTCCACCAGAAAAGTGACATAGAGCAGCTTTAAATTCCGATAATGCAATTTGCTGCAACAGTTCTATCTTTACAGGCCTCATTTGCAGGAGTCCTTTCTTAATAGATGTCATTGTGAGTTGCAGAGTGTTCCTCCTCGTATGGACTTAAGTGCCGTGAGCTGGGCTGCTGTGATAATGAACCTGATGGGAGACATGAGCCCTTTCATCTGAAAATACCCTTTTTAAAAACATAATTACCCATCTCAGACAAATTACCGCATTCTGGAAGATGCTCATTAAATGCTTCATTTTGACGATGAAGACGAGAAAGAGAAATGTCTGGTATAATTGCGGATAAGTAAAAATGTGTTTATTTCGTGAGATAACATGCTGATTTTTTCCACACACTGTTCAGGATTTGGCAACCGAGATGCTGCAAAGTCTGTAAAGCAATAGTGTTCGTCTATAATATGAATACAGCTGTTTGTTTCTTGACAGTTGAAGATATTAAATTATCACATTTACAAATTATTATAATAAAATCGTAACCATTGCTTAACTAAAAATGTTTGTGACACTTGTAATTACATCAAAATGCTTCTATATGTGTTAGGGATGGGCATGATTAGTCGATGAATTGATAATTGATCATTAAGAATTTCATCGATTACGCTCATTTTAATCGACAAACCGACTGTAGGTTACTGTGCGTAGCGTAGGGTGACTAAACAGGGGTCTGTACATGTAGCTCTCTGCACTCAGGAGCGAGACGCCTGCAGCCTGCAACATGTCGAAGCGCAAGTGCGTATTTAACGATGACTTGTACAAGAAATTCCATGCTTTCCGTTGCGTTCGGGACAAGTGGAAGACCATGTGCACAGTGTACAAAGCAGCACATATGTTTCGGTGTCTAGTGGGGAAAAAGATCACCGGGACACCGAAAACATTCAAAAGTTTTGCCAGGTGAGAGTCGTTCAATGTCGATGACGAGTCCCCACCTCCCACCCCCCTTACGTAATAAAATATGGTACGTAATATGGTCACACTAACCTGTATTCCACTGAGTCGTGTCGCATCAGCGCACAAGAGCTGTTTTTTTCTTCTCTTAATTTATGCTAATGAGCCATGTGGTTTTAAGTTTTCGTTTCTGTGAGAGTTGCACAAAGCTGCATTAAACACATTATAATGTCAAACGGGCTGATGTGGCTCTAGAGTGGTTACGGTTTATATGTCGTAAAGTTGAATTTAGTTATGCAGATTAGTAGTGCAGATAGTAATAATAATGATGATAAATTTTAATATAAAAAATGTTAATGATTAATTGATAATCGATCGTTAATTCTCCCGACGATTGATTAAGAAAATTTTATCGAATGCCCATCCCTATTATGTGTTAAATCGTAACATAGAAGAGTGAATTCCTTAGTGCATTGTCTAATTTGATAATAATATAGTAATGCCTTTTGATTTATACACCATATTTCATGATACTCAAAGTACTTTTTAATGCATTTTATTGCTTTTCCTATTATACTCACTAGAGATTTACAGTTAGCCAGAGGGAAGCTATCAATCTGTATCTTACTTCACAACAGCCACTACACACACAATGATGCTGAGATTGTGCTTCATACATACAAGTTAGATGTCTTCTTGCAGGATTAATGGCTGTATAAAGTGAGATTTCAACCAACATCTCTCCTGTTATATAATTAGAGCTCTTTTTCCTGAGTCACTAGCTATATTTAAGGTTCATGCGCACCAAACATCTGGAAAATGTTCGTGTTAAACTGTTCTACATGATCCTTGTGTTTTTATTTCACTGTTTTGTCCGTAAATACATTTCTATTTCTAATATGGAACTGGCTGCCCTATAATTGAAAGCGTCAGTGAGCCTCATTTGACTGGAGCCAAACGCTGTGGGTGGCATAACACTCACTTAGTCCAAGTCTTTATACGGTCTGTCATAATCCGTGTATCATTTGTTCATTTGTTTTTCAAAATAAAACCAAAAATACAATAAGAAAATGAAAGAAAGAAACTGTTTTCTTCATTATTTGTCCTCAAACCAGAATGAAAAAACAGATAGTGATTCGTTTTTTCAGTTTTCGATTTTGTGTTTAAAAGAATAATGGAAACAACGGATAACAGCCGTTTCCCATTTCTGTGACTTAAACTGTGATGCTGGACTTTTGCGCCGCATACGGTCTAAACCAGGACTGATCCCAGAACTGCACCAGGAAGACTAAACCAAGACTGAACTAAGACTAAAACAGGACTAGTCCAAAATTAATCCTGGCTTAGACCTGGTTTAGAACTGGCTCAGTCCTGATATAGTCCTGGTTTATACCTGGTTTAATCCTGGTGTTTAATGCTGTTTTAGTCCTGTTTTAGTCTTAGTTCAGTCTTGGTTTAGTCCTCCTGGTGCAGTTCTGGGATCAGTCCTGTTTTAGTCCTGTTTTAGTCCTGTTTTAGTCCTGGTTTAGACCTGGTTTAGTCCTGATTTAGTCCTGGTTTAGTCCTGGTTTAGACCTGGTTCAGTCCAGGTTCAATCTGTATGCGGCGCAAATCCCTCTGGCATTGCAGTTTGAGTCACGGAAACTTTTTTTTCCCCATTATTCATTTAAACACACAATAAAAAACTGAAAAAACTAATTGTTATATTTTTGGAGACAAATAATGAAAAAAAAAAAGTTGTTTTTTCATTTTCTTATTTTTGGTTTTATTTTGAAAAACGAATAAACAAATGATACATACATACATGTATGATGTAAGCACACACCAAAAATCACATTTAAAAATTTGGTCACATATGATTATTATTCTAGTTCTTAATTTTGACTTGGCCATGTAAACATCCACTGTCAGTCCAAATACAGCATCACAGAACTTTTTATTTATGTTGCTAATGTTAACAAAATAGAAACATGCATGAACCAAATTATCGTTCTATCAGTTTTTGGTGATTCTTTTCTTAGATTAGTCTGTGAAAAATGATCGAAAAGCTGTTTGATAGATCCAATATGGCTCTAACTGCCTTGTGTGTCGTTAGTTGGCAAAAACGACAGTCTGGTTTTCTAATATGACTTGTCACTAATATATTTTCTTCATTTGGTCTCTTGCAGGAAGTCCATGAAATCCTGAAGGAGTACGAGCTGAAGTACTGCTTTGTGGACCGCAACAAAGGCACAGGTACTACTCCTCAGTACTACTACAGCGCATACACAGCTCCTCTTGTAAACAGTAGTATTGGAACACGCCACACAGCCTTTCAGTCATGTCAATTTTCACTTTTATTGTTCAGAAATAAATTGAATAAAGGGAGCGAGGCAGTGGATACTGTTTTGCTTTGATTGTAGCGAGTTACACTTATAAAGAAATCCATTTTACATTTCAATATCCTCGCTATTGATAAAGGAGGCCATTATGAACACTTTTCAGGTTGTTATAAAACCTTGCACAGTGGAAAACATTTTGTACATTTTCCACCACTTATGTTTATATGAATCAGTGTGATTGAAGGAAATAGCCGGAAATATACACCTTAAAGGCCTTTATTATGCTGTTTTCTCATCTATGCTGTAATGTTGTTTCCTTCACAAACAGACCCGCAGTTGTGTTTTGTTTCATTCACACATGCTTAACACACGTTCTGCACATTTTATAGTTCTTCTCTTAAGTAAAAAACACTCTGTTCTGCCTTGTGATGTTATGTGGTATTACAGGAACTGCTCCACTGTGTTTTTAAACTTCATACACCTTCGCTAGAATCATTTGGATAATTTCAGACCTGGAATTGCCAGTCTGTACTGAACAAAAAGTAAAAAGTAGCTTGAAAATTACCTTTTCATGATATCACAACAGAGCATTTTGAGCTTTGGAGATGTAGACCAGTGTTTTCCTTTTTTTTTCTGGTGACCCATATTTTAAAAGTCACAAACCTTTGCAACCCAACACATTATTTGTAAACCACAAAAGTAAAAGTGGATTTGACTATTGTTGATCATAAATGAGAATATTTTATTGTCAATTAGTATAACTCAGGTTTTAAACAATGAAGCAGCAATAAAAGGATCCATAAATTGCCTATTTGGAGATTAATTAAATGTAGCCCATTTATTTTTCTTTTCAACATTCAATTGAACCAGCAATATTAGAACAAAATAGTCTGTTGAACTGTATATTGTGGACCTACATGCAGATTGTGACAAGGCGACCCAAAAAAAAGTCTTACAACCCAGTCTTTGGGAAACAATGATGTAGACACACAAATATTAAAATGCTCCTCAAATGTGTGAATAAAAACAAAGCCCAACTCCAGATATGTTTTTGATGAAGTAACAGCTGATGTTGCATAATAAAAAACCTTTAAGTCTGAATAGTAAGCAACAGTATTAAGGTGTATATTGTTTAAAACTGGAGTACTTACTTGAACAAACTGCACAAATGGTGATTATACAGTAGAGGTTTGTGCGGGTCAGAATTTTCAGTACTTGCAAAAAATGGTAATTTTCATTCCCGTTCCCACCTACATCTGTGATATTTTGTCCCGCTTCCGCCCGCAAATCTCGCAAGATGGGGACGTTCACTTTCTTAAGCTCTATCAAACACGGAGAAGTGGAAAGGAATTGTCTAAAATGTGCGCAAGATTAGACCACATCCGTGAGTTTAGTCTGCTTAAAATGTTTTTAATAATGCCAAATAAAATATCCAGCACAAATGATGTATGATAGGCATACATTCATCATTTGTATATTTAACTTTACACTCATATTTAGGTTGCATTGTGCAGTCCCCCTCCTGCCTGCACCCGCCTGCACCCGCAATAAGCTTTGAAAATGCATCCCACACCGCACTGTTTTGCATCGGGTCCCGCGGGTCCCGTGCATGCTCTACTATACACCGCTCTCTCTCTTTGTAGTAAATCAGATTTGTGGATGAGTTTGTGCTGAATTCAAATGATATAATTTAGGGAAAATAATCAAAACTGCTTCTCTTGTGGGCTTTAAGCCATGTTGGAATGTTGTTAATCATAACTGGAGTTGTATTTAGTTTCATTCACACATGTCTGAGTACTGTATTTTCCGGGCTATTAGGCGCGCTCTTAAGCCTTTAACCCAGGGGTGTCCAAACTTTTTCCATCAAGGGCCACATTTCTAAACATAGACAAAGCAGAGGGCCAATCAAGGCCCGTAGACTGATGCTCAATACAGTGAATAATTGAAATATGTGCATGTTTAACACATTAAAATGAGCCATCAGTCTTTATTCATGATAAGATACTTAAAACCAGCTTCATCAAAGTAGATTTTCAAAAAAAATTGCAATAAAAAGTAAATTTTTAATTGAAGCAAGGTAATTTGTGCCAAGTCACCTGGAAGCGTGGGAGCCAAGAAAAATTTGTCTGAGGGCTGCATTTGGCCCACGGGCCATAGTTTGGACATGTCTGCCACAACCCCATCAAAAAATGACCACGCATCCCGCAAGCCCTATATACGAATCCACTCGGGTGTCCCAGCACGACTTCAGTAAACTACAAAGTCGCACCACCTGCAGCGCACACAAACACACACGGAGCAGACAGCGACCGCACAGCGAAACACACTCACAGACACACTCATCACTCCACGTGGACGAGGAACGGAACGGAGGAACGAACCAAAAAAGCGAGTGCGATAGCCACAACTGAACAACTGAGTCACTGCGAACACGCCAACAATCCGTTGGTCCCAGACAGCACCCTCCCTACACGCCACAACTGAACAAAGCCCAGAGTCACCGCGAAAGTGCCAAACAAAGTCCAACTGACCCATCCAACTGTTGTGTTTCGTTTAAAGTCCGGTGCAGTTTGTTTGTGAAAAACGTTCAAAATAGACCATTTAATGACAGTGCGTCTGATAATCCAGATAATAGCCCAGAAAATACGGTAATCCTTTCTAGTAGTAGTAGTCTGTCTACATGTCCGAAATCAAAATACTCTGTTCCACCTTATGATGTCATGAAGTTCACAGTCCACCTTAATAGAGATTGGAAATTCCAGGGGTAAAATTATTCAGATGCTTCTAGTGAAGGTGTATGGAGTTTAAAAACACAGTGGAGCTCTTCCTGTATTACCACATGACATCACAAAGTGGAAGAGAGTGTTTTCAATTAGACCCTCTTCTTATTCATTTATAGTAAAGGGGGCCCATGTGATGCTTCTTGCCCCGGGTCCCCACATTTCTGTTGACGGGCCTGATTTTAAGTGTCCAGATGCAAGAATTGTTCAGGTGCTTCTTCAGACTGTGTAGCAAAGTATGTTGGACCTTTCAACAGCCAGCCCGACCCACTCTCATCTCAAAGCCTATTTTAGAAGCAGACTCTTTCTCTCGGGTTTGTGATCAATAGAATCCTGTATAATTGGATGCACATTTCATACAGCCGTCTGATTCTGACACAAAGAGCTGCTTTGACAAAGTATTGGGCAAAAGTTGGGCACCTCAAGTTATAATTTATTTATTGTTGGCTTTTCTAATGCTTTGGAACTATAATTTTGCCAGTGGTGGAAGAAGTACTTGATTTTGTAAAACTGCACATAACAGGGAAAAGAAATACTCAAGTAAAAGTACAAGATTATGAGATCTAATAACAGTCTAATAAAAAGTATTGATTTTGATACAGATTTGTGTTGAATTTTGTTCAGTAGAAACTGAATCGATGTTTTTTCCCCCTAGCTGTCTTTAATTGTATATTTTTTATACTCAAAAGTACAAATGTGTTAAAAATAAACCCTCAGCCTTTTCAGCAGGTCTCAAACTATAATAAAAAATACTTTTACTTTTCAATCCTGTTAGAAATGAAAAAAAGAAAAGCAGAAAGTACAGATACATGCTCTCAAATGTAGTGAAAGTATCCTCTTGAAAATGTATTTAAGTAATGTACAGATTCTTAAAATGTATAGTTAAGTACAGAACTTTACTACTTTTACTTCCTAAGGCAAAGTTCAGTGGTAGAATTTTTTTGCTTAGGTGTTTGCATATAATATCATCCAGGGGTGTAGTGGGCATAGTACGTGGGGGTATGCCATCCACCCACTTCTCCCGACGTGAGATATAAAAAAATAACAAATATAAAATAGCTACAACTTGAATCCGGAGCTATTGACAATGGTGAAAACAACCTGCATAGGCTCATGATGTCTGCAGTACTGACCTATAGTGGCCTGAGACATGAGGGACCAGGACTGAACTAGGACTAAACCAGAACTAAACCAGGAATGAGTGTCAGGACAGGCCTGGAATTGTGCCTGCATATGTGGTCAGGTGACCGCAGGCGAAAGGACCGGCACAGAGCCCCATGGGCCTAAGCTTAGCCGTCACCCCATCGCACTTTGCAGACACCCTGCTCCATGGGCTTGGGGTTCTCTTTCTCGCTGACAATTCCAAGATTAGTCCTGGTTTAGTCCTGGTTTAGTCCTGGTTCATGTTTTGTAGTCCAGTGATTCTTAACCATAGGGCCGGGGCCCAAAGTAGGGCCAGGACCACCTCCTTGGGGGCCCCACAATCAGTACAATATAAGGCATGTAATCTGAGATAGGGCCCCAGGTTACTTTGACAGAAAAAGTCAGGCCCTGAGATTGAAAAGGTTAAGAACCCCTGCTGTAGTCTTTGATTTATGTTCTGTAGGTGAATATGAACGGCGTTAATGTTAATAACATGATTCTGCATCATTTTAAGTAGTTAAAAAACATCAAATATTACTTTTATTTACTGGATTGGTGCCTTTATGTTTGTTTTGGGGACATCGATGATGTCACAAATCGCATACCCCACTTAAAAAAAATCCCCTCTACAGCACTGATGCTGTCATAACTGTAGAGATAACTAAAGTATATTTTAAGGGCTGTACATGACCTAGACATGGACATACAGGACATAAACACTTAACACGATGTGGTAGTATTGTCCAGTCTGCCCTTGGTTCTATTGTAGGGAGTATTATAGTGCTGATGACATAGGTCAGATAGAGTTATTAGCAAGGAAGGTCATGCAGTTTTCCTATTAATAAGACATATTGAGTTTTGAATGAAGATTGACAACATTATTGACCACCCATATGCTCCAGTACTATAGTATTTTTATATTTTTATGTAATTTATTCATTCATACAACTGTACCATTGCGTCTAACTTTTATTTTACAAGAGCGCATAGA